GAAAATGATAATCATCTAAAGGGGTGGAAAAAAACCGCTTTAGGAAAAAAACCGCTTTTGATAAATTTTGGTGAATAATGGTAAAATGTTTTCTAAATGTTATTTTATTTTATTTTTTTATTTAAACAAAAAGAAAAAAAACATCATTTTCATTTTGCCCGAGCATTTATTCGAAGTGTTTAGAAGAAGGCTGTTAAAGTCTATTTATATTACGGTTAATAGTTGAGTTATTACAGAAATTATTTGTAAGTAAACGGGATATTACCAACATAATAAAGACATTTAACCAAAAATACGTTCGTTTTAAAATAAAAAAAATAAACATTAAGTATAATAATTTTAATAAATAAATAAAACAAGAATGAATATCGGCTTCATCTTTATCGGCTTCATCTTTATCGGCTTCATCGTTATCGGCTTCATCGTTATCGGCTTCTTCCTTGACGTCACTTTTATATCATTTTCTTCATTGTGTTGCTGTCTAATAAACAAACAAATATTGTTTAACTTCGCATTAAACGTTATAATTTGTAATTTACACTTTACAAGTTCTTTTTTATACCCTTCTCCATTTTTTGATTATTAGAACTTTAAAAATTTATATTTTACAGATTTTTATTGCGATAAAACGAGTTAATATTAAATAGAAAATTTAATCAAAATAAATAAAAAAAATAAAACCAAGTTATTATTTTTCTTTTCGAGGTTTCTTTTCATTTGAAATTTTGTTCTTTTCATCCTTTTTGATTTTCATAAGTTTTTCAACATCGAGCCTGTGCTCTCTATCAAAAAAATTCTCAATGGAGACTCTAACAGTTTGGGTTTCTTTTCTTTTTGGATCCTTACCAAGAAAAGAGCAAACCTCTTTGGCATAAGACATGTCAACTTTTGCAACACCTTTAAGAAGGTCTACAGTGTTGAAGTTGGGGTTGACACGTCTCGTGTTTTCCAACTCTTCTTTTGATGGGTGTTGAACCACGTATATTATACCAGCCTGTTTGAAGGCGCTGGTCATCGTGTCGCCATCAGACACTACTTCCCATGAGTAAACAAGCTGCCTAATTTTGTCTTCCTCCGAGAGCTTTGCAAATTTTTTCAATGCATTTTTGAACTCGGGTGAGTTTATTTTGAAAATTTTCCCGTTTCTTTGGACCTTTTCGTCACACTTTTCATTTTCTTTTTCACTTAATGAAATTTTGTGTAACATCAAATTGTTTTTGTCCGCAAGGAAAGTTTTTTGTTTCCCGAAAATTCCCAGATCCATAGGCTGACATAAATGGGAACTGTGTGGGACTTCCTTTATAATTTCAACACAATTTTCCCGAAATAATGCTTCAATTTCATCACTAAAATGGCCCGAAAAGCCGTCAATAATTAGATACGCCTTCGTATCAACTCTCACACCCATTCTGATTCTTTTTTCCTTAATATTCGGGAAAAACACCTGTTTGAGCCACAATGTGTACAATTGCGTATTTAGAACACCTGATTTTTGGTATCTAATAATAGCACGACTCTTGAGTTCCACAATTAGCTTGTCTTCGATGGTGAGTCTTTTGGTAACAACAAGGGGTATCATTTTTGTCCCATCCAGACAACCACAACACAAAAGACTCGTTCTAGAACCATCTCTGTCGACTTCGTTAAAAACTTGTTCCCCTGATTCGACTGACACGTAGACAACTCGGGTTCTTGAATCAACCCATTCATCGAATCCAACTTCATCCAAGTTAAAAACAAGCTCAAATCTGCATCCATCCAATTTTCTTTTTAATTCCGAGTAATACTGCAGGATGGCAGTTTGTGATACCTCTGCTCGTTTTGTTTCCATAACTTGGGCATTTTTTGTTTCAATTTCTGGGATTAATTTAAGGACTTTATTTAATTGCCTTGTTCCCATTGTTTTGCCGAAATTTTCAAACATGAAAAGTCCAATTTCTTCTGGTTTTGCTTTTTTGGTTTCTTTCATTTCTTCTGCTATTTTTAGAACTTCTTCGTCTGAAAGAAGTCGTTTTCTTCCCTTTTCCGAAATTTTTCCATTTTTGTCTTCTTTTCGTATTTTTTGAATTTGGGAATTTACACCCGATTCCTTAAAAGTCCCGAAAAAATACTCAAGTGCCACTCTAATTGATTTTTTAGTTCCTTTAAACTCATTAATTGGCACATTAGAAAGATCATTTAATGAAAACCGCACTTGCTCTCTAAAAGTGGGAAAAGATTCTTTTTTTATTTTTATCTCAAGGTCTTGGAAAGCTTTGAAAATAATAGGGCAATTAATTAAGTATTGTTCAGCCCTTTGACTAACAGGAGTTTTCGGACCAATCATTTTCAAACTTTCATGTTTTTCGGAACCTTTTTTATATTCTTTCTTTAATTGAGGGGGCTTGGAAGAAGGTTGGGACATTGTTTAAAAAGGTTTATAAAAGAGTTTATTAAATAGGCTATTGATATTGTTTTTTATATTATTGTTAAATTTTATAGATTAATTATTATTTTTATTTCGAAATTTAACAAGAGTTTTTTTAATCTAAAAATTTTATAGTTACTTTTTTGTTGCGATAAAAGACTTTTTTAATTTTTATTGTTAGTAAAGTTAAAGAATTGTTTTTATTATTTACTTGTATATTATCAAATGAAAAATAACTTTGTTATTAATTAATAAATTTGTTGTTTGTTAATATTATATTTAATCAATTTAAATAATTGATGTTGCGATAAATAAATTTAGATTTATAAATAATTATATTTAAAAACTATTAATTATTATAATTTAACCATTTATGTAACTAAAATAGTATTTTTGAAAACTG